TTGTGGATTTATGTGTGCCAGAGAATGTACTCTTTCCAAATGCTCTGTGCTTTTACAGTAACCCCTTTTCATTCCCTGGATTCAGTTTCAGTTTCACTCTTGGACGACATTGAGGGTTCAAGGTTGGCGCTCTGGTTCAGGAAATAGTTTCACTCTTTCACAAATTTGGCTGTCAGATTGTTTCTCTTTGCCGTCTTGTCTGCTCAACATAGTGTCCATTATCTATATCCAAAACTGTGTCCCGATGGGTGATGTTTGGAAGGGTTTTAGAAACATGACAAGGGAGTAGATCTTGATCTACTCCCTTGTCATGTTTCTATTGATATATAGTAGCATGGGACATATCTCTGCTGCAGTAGAAAGCTATCAGCTGTTGCTTGCAGCATAATGAAAAGTCTAAATCTTTGCAAACAGCCCCAAGAGGCTATAATGTTCCTTACGTCCCAAAATACTAAAGTAACTGGACAGAGTGTACAACATAGTGATACAATAATTGTGCAACTTCTAGAGCCTTAGCGGTGGGGTAGAAAATGTTTGTCTGCTTGGTGGCACTAGAGGAAGCACATGAAGTTGAAATCTCTTTCATTTCAGTGCGCTTATAGATTCATGAAATATTTTGTGTATAAGTATACTTTAGTGTAAAGTAAAAAAAATACAGTCTGTGCATTACATTTGTGTGATGATAATGCAAGATTGTGGGCCAATAGACCCGAGCTTCTTGGAATTAAATGACTAAATATGTATGTCAATAAATACATTTTATTACACACGTTATGGAATGAATAACCATATAAATAAACAGGTGTCAACCAATATACCAGTATAAATTATCTATCATTTTAGAGCTCCATAGCTTTGGGAGACATGATTAACTTACAATATCCTGAACTGATCATTGAAATATTTAATTTTGACAATAATGTACATAATCACATCACCTAAGAAGTGAAAGATTTCTTCCATTTTGTCTTTGGTAATGACCAACATCTTGTAAAATACGTAAAAAAACATCTAACTATGAAATTTCCTGAGAACATATACATTCCCACCAGGGAGACCCTGTGACCCTTTCCCTAGTGCCACCATCAGACCACACTTTGGCTGCCCTTTCATAACTATAGCCTGTCATTTACTGAGTGCATTGTTGATTGTAAATGTGACTGTAGATTATTCGGCCTTATGGTCTGCACTCTTTTATTGTGCTGTCTTCTTTTGAAATAGGTTCTTGTCGTCCACTGTGTGACAAGATACTTTTTCTTTCCCCTTCTCAAACATGCATTTTCTTATGAACTTGTGATCATTGCCTTGCATTGATCCTCTCTCCTATCACTGCTAATCCAAATGATTTACTTTCATTTTAGGATTTTCTACAGTTTGTTCATCCTGTCTACTTAGCTCCTGCATGGATTTACCATATTACTGTTGGCTTCCTACAAACATTCTTCACCAGCTTTCTTTTTGCCCTCAGTTTTAAAGCTGGAATTATCCAGACAAGATGTGTCTGTTTGAGGGAGTCAAATTGCTGCTTCTGCTCCTTAAAAGTTAAGACCACTGAGTGCCTGGCAGTTTGCCTTATTACCACAGTTCACTTGCTTGGAGACAGTTTGTTCAATATAAGTGACCTCTGGCTAACTGTAAGACTTTTATTTTTTATTTGAAAGACCAAATAAAATACAAGAAATGATTTAACATAGCTAGATGAAACATCCAGCACATACAGTGAGAGAGGCATTAAATGAAATGGTTGCTTTCTGTTGTTAATTTAACACAACAGATACTGAACAGGACAAGTTTTCTCTTGTTTTCACCTATGAGCTGCTGAGTGGTGGGAGGTGTTCAGTCTCAGTCTCCCCTTCCCTCATAATGTAGCTTTGCACAACACCTCCTGCTGCAGAGAGGTGCTCGTCAGACCAGTTTTCAGTCAGAGTTATTGTGCAAATGAAAGTGCTCGGGAAAACCCTCATTGCCAGAAGCTCAAACTAAAGAAGCTGGTAGGTGTAACTGCCTGTTGCCAAAAACAGATCTTACAAAGTGGACATTAAATGTGTTTGAGCTTGTCACTGTAAGGATAAGAGAGCCCACTACAGGTGAGTGTTGCTTTCATTTTCTTATACTAAACGTTACACTTAGTTTCTTGACATAAGGTTTCATGGTATTAGCTTTATGTAGTTCCTTGTGTTTTCTTTGATTCATTACCAGCACTTCAATACTTTTAAATGAGATAACCTAAGTTCCTTTCTTGCCTCAAACCCTTCCAACCTGTTCTTTTTTACTAAATGACATGTGGTGACTTGTGTTAATGAGTCTAGAGGTAATGTATCACACTCCTCTGTGGGCATTTATTGCTTAATAAAGAGGTTTAATCAGTACAAATTACTCTTTAAAATGTGAAATATTTAAACATGCCGCCAGCCAGATGATATCTGTTGTCTTATCTGATCTGATGTGTTCATTTTCTTGTTGTGACAGCACTAAAAAAGACTAAAATGACTAGAATGTGTCTAACATTACAAATGTCTGGAATAGGAACTGCTCTCACCTTTATTGAAAAGCTTAAACAGAGAATAAGAACAAATACTGTAAACGGACGCTCTCGATGTAAGGAACACACGTTTTACAGTCCTGTATTACATTCATGGTCCACTAAAGAAGAGCAAATAACCGACCAAAAATAACCTGCCTGACCACATTAGCCAGGAACTCTCAAACAGATAACACTCACACACAGCATGAACAGACTCACAACCCTGCTACCCCCTTACCCACAGAATGATTTATTTTCTCAGTCAAAAAACCATGGTAGCCACATACATCTGAAGGAACTTCATTCCTTCCTAATGTTAAACAATAACACCAGGAGGTAATAAAATCTGGAGCAAACACTGCCAGGGTGTGGCTGTAAGAATGAATGTGCGTAAATAGGCTACTTGTGTGTGGGAGGGGTGATAGACACACCTGGAGACTTCCTTATTGTGAAGCAGGAAGGAATCCTGCTGCTCTCCGATAGGTACTATTGGCATTTATTGTGTCTTCTTCTCTTCATTTGTTTTCTCTTCTTGGGTTTTTATCTCTAGTATTTTTTCAAATTTACATCTAAGACATTACCACCTAATTTCTAGTTGTTGCTGTTGTAGCTTGACACATTTCATTTCTATGTGCCTGCCAGATCTGGTTCATTTTCTGCCCTCTCTGTACAATATAGATGTATCTAAATTCATGGGTCTTTTTTGCAGGGGCTTCTTGGGAAGAACTAACTGTCTCTAAGTTCAGGGCTTGTTGCTTCAAGTAAATTAAATTTGATTTTGTGACTTTGTGTTATTGTTGGCAAAAATAAAATATTAACATTTACCCAAAATGATTATATTGGCGCGTCTTGTCCAAACGCAGCCCTGAGTGGTCAATGTGAAGGGACCAAAAGATCAAGGGTTAAAATATCATCATCCTCTAGAGAATACAGCTGTGTTGTTCATCACATCCTCTGTTATAAATACAGTTATTCTCTTCAAAATCCGTCTTGAAACACAACTCATGTTATTCCAACTGAATGTGACAGTTTAGTGCTGATCAGTCACACACTGTAGCAGCCATTGTGAAGGACATGTAATTATTTTGCTTTTCTGGGTGGATAAATGTTTAGTTTAAAAGACATTTGTGAATTTCTTTTGTCCATCAGACAATCCTAGCATCAGACTAATAAAAATCTATTTACAACAAATGTTAGCTTTGGTGAGATATCTTTAGCTTAACTGTAGCTTTCCTTTTTGGGTTCTTTCCATATTAATCAAATATTATACTGTAATCACAGCCCAATTTTAGTGAAGATGAATATTTCAGTTTTTATAATGCTGTAAAGAACAGTTTATGTACAAACACTCTATGCTCAGCAGTGAATCTAGACTCTCCAAAAGGACTCTGTGGGATTTACAGGATGCACAAAAGCGGGCTTTGTCCAAAAAGTTCTCAGAGGCAGAGGGTGGAGAGCGATCCTGCCCACATAAAGTACTTTTAAACACTATATGGAGTCTGAAAACGTCTGGTGTCTGTCATTGATCTGTAGCTTTGAGACTTCAGCGTTTGGACCATGTTCTCCTCTGCTGTCCCACACAAAAACCAGCACTACACTGAACTGAAGAGGAACTGTATCAAGGACAAGATACTGTTTGAAGATCCAGAGTTCCCAGCCACCAGTGTATCGTTGTATTTTAGGAAACCACCTCCTGGATTTGTTGAGTGGAAACGACCAGGGGTGAGTGGCACATGGTGGTGGTCCATCGTTAACATCCATCAGGGAAATTAACATTTCACTGTGCGAGGTGGTTTGCAGACTGACTTAGTTAAAGTAGAAAAATCACTGAACCATCACTACACTTTAGATTATTATAAAGATTATTGACAAAAGAACTGAGATGAAGGGCATAATAAAGTGACAGCCTCTCTTTGATTCCCACTTGGCAACAAACACCTGCCTATTTCAGAGAGATAATACAAAGTGTTATTATCACAAATGCCATATGAGAATAGAAAGCATTTTAACAACAATCGAACTGAAAAGACCACACATACCTCTAAACTACACAAACTAGACTTAGAAACTACTTAAAGTTTTCTCGTTTGGTTTTTCTTTGCCTTTTTTAAGGTTAAATCTTCTGTAAATTGCATCATGTTAACTTCTCTGTTGTAGGAGATAAGCAATGATCCCCATCTGTTTGTGGAGGGCATCAGCTCCCATGACCTGAACCAGGGAGTTGTGGGAAACTGCTGGTTTGTCGCTGCCTGCTCCTGTCTGGCTTTGAAGCCAAACCTCTGGAAGAAGGTGAGTTAATTTGATTCCTTTATTCTGGCCGTGTAAGCCGAGGGGCTGGACAATTTAATGTTAGTAACCAAATGTTAATAAGGCTTATGTATTCTGATGATCACAAATGAAACTGCAGGTACAGTAACACTGAGGCACATAACCAGCTTAAAGCACAGTTTAAATGAGGGCAGCAGGAATTGACCTCAGGGGGTTTAAAGACGGAATAGTCCTGTGATGCTCACTGCTTCAGCTTAAAATAACTCATTAGTCACACACATTTAACATTTGCTGCATTGTGATCTGTGTGTGTTTCCAGGTAATTCCTGACTATAGTGAGCAGGAGTGGGATCCAAAACACCCAGAGAACTATACAGGAATCTTCCACTTTCAGTTCTGGGTGTTTGGAGAGTGGGTGGATGTGGTGATAGACGATCGGCTGCCTACAATCAACGGAGAACTCATCTACTGTCACTCAAAACAAAACAACGAATTCTGGAGTGCTCTGCTGGAGAAGGCCTACGCCAAGTTAGTAAAGTTCAACCACATTGTCCTTCTAGCAGAAATAGATTTGTATTTATTTATATATAGTTGATATTATACATTGCAACATAAACTGCTACTACTAAGTACTACTACTTATACTACTACTACTTATACTACTACTACTAATAATAATAATAATATATTTGCAATGTATAATATCATGAAACAATTATTGCTGCATTCTATAAATCGCATACAATTGAAAAAAAGAGTCCATTCTTGTGTTCTGCAGTATTCTTAAATATAACATATTCAATATTTTAATATTTCTCACATACTTCTAACTAAACTTGTGCTTCCCCTGCATCCTCTCTGTCCAGGCTTGCTGGCTGCTATGAGTCCCTGGAGGGGGGAAACACTGGAGACGCTGTGGTGGATTTCAGTGGCGCTGTGGCTGAAGCCATCGACCTGGAGAAAGAAGCTTTCTATAAGGACCAGAATAAACAAGATCAGCTGTTTGAGGATCTACTAAAGGTCTATGACCGTGGAGGAATCATTAGCTGCTCCATTAAGGTCTGTACTCTTCCTGAATGTTTGCTTCTTTGTCACTATACTTCATAAAACCTGAGCATACTGTAGTAGACAAGTTCTTTTCATGTTTTCATCAGGCACAGCCTCATGAAATTGAGCTCAGGATGGCAAACGGGCTGGTAAAAGGCCATGCATACTCAGTAACTGCAGTGAAGAAGGTGCGTTTGGGTCACGGGCTGCTAGCCTACTTCAAGAACGAAACCATTCCTCTGATCCGTATGAGGAACCCCTGGGGCAAGACAGAGTGGAAAGGAGCCTGGAGTGACAGGTGAGAAGTTTCTTCCAATAAGGGTGAAATTATTTTGAAAGGTGTCAAAATGGAACAGGCACTATCTGTAGATTTAAAAGATGAAAGTGGGTAGTTTGCTTGTTTAATGGAAGAGTATGCACCTTTTCACACATATCCTGTGGTATTATCCACTTCTATCTACTGTCCATCCGTATGCTCAGAATGCCCCCCCCCAAAAAAATCAGAGGAAGAACAAGAAGTAGGAGCTGTACAGTGAGCAAACCAACATACTCTCCTAATCACAAGCTCACCATTGTCATGCATAAAGACAGAGATGGAAGTAATGTGCTGTATTTTGGTTAGAATAATGTGGAATATACTGATAATGCTGCAGAACTGATCTTTCTTCTAACCTGACTAGAGGAACCATTCTTTGTGAAAAGGCAAATTGAAACTTTTTATATCTACATTTTATGGCTCAGAAGGTGGATTTTGTGGATATTATAACCTTAAAACCATGTATTTGTAACAAGTAGAATTAGAATTAATTTGCTTTGCTTGCTGCTTTTCAGCTCTGAAGAATGGTCAAAGGTTGGTGACATGGAAAGGGGCAACCTTGGCATAACAGTGGAGGATGATGGGGAGTTCTGGTAAGTTCCTCTTATTACAACAGTCCATCTGTGGAGTTTATCTGCTCTTTCAGAGTGAATTTATGCATTTTCTGTTCACATCTACAGGATGTCATTCACAGACTGGTGCAAGTTATTCACAGATGCAGATGTCTGCCGTCTCATCAACACTTCGCTGATCAGTATCCATAAAACATGGAATGAAGTTGTGCACTTCGGGAGCTGGACCAAAAATGCAGATCCATTTTTAAACCGCTGCGGTGGCTGTGCTAACCACAAGCAGACATTTTTGCAGAATCCACAGGTACTGGACTCTGCTCACATTAATGTGTTCATGCACATGTAACACATACTGTATATATTAACTCCTTTTCTACTTCTTTTACAGTACTTGTTTGATGTTACCAAGGAGGAAGATGAGGTTCTAATCTCCTTACAACAGAGGGACATGAAGATCCACAGAAAAGTTGGTCAAGGAGAAAATCTAAGCATTGGCTTTGGTGTCTTCAAGGTAACATATATTGTAGCACTTCCACTATACATCCACCATACTTTATTTATCTAATGAATGGTTGGTGATTGATTTATGACTGTGTGTTGCACACTAAGCACTTATAAATCATGGGTAAATTACAGTTTGTGTAACATTGCAAGATCTTGGTGAGCCTGATTAGAGAGGAGCACAGAGGAAATGGTCTTCGTCTGGGACAAGAACGTTAGTCAAGGGTCAGTTTGTTTTGGGTGAAAACAAGGTCATTTCATCATATTTTGGCATTGATTTTGGTCAAAGATTTTGGCTTCATTTGACTTTTCCACGTTTTTTCCATTTCTATAATGACAGGCAGACATTACTTGATAGTTTATCGAAACCAAAACAGACCATTTCAACAAGACGCTAAATCATAAGTGATTAATCACAAAAAATCTACATTCTTTAGTTGATTGTTTCAAGCTGAAAAACTGTGACAATTTCTTCTAAACTCTCAGTAAGATGCAAAGAGTTGAGTACAAACTCAGGAATGTGTTTTGGTAGGTCTTAAGTTAGCTGTAAGTAAATGCAGTCCTCTTATGCAGCTGTAAAAGTTGTATCTTATTTACTGGGATTAGATTGTCACATTCAAATTAGGCCATGTAACCGTATGCGGCAATACTGACATCGCATTTCCCGTAATGTGATTAACTTGTCAGAGATCTGGCTAAGTTCAAACGTACACACGATACACTCTTATCATGCTGACAGAAGTGTTGCCAAAGGGGAGGGTTCTGGGCAGCAATAAAAGCTGGTGTCACAAGGAGTATGTCATTAAAAAGGTAGCTGCGTGCACATGGTCCCACTGAACGGCTGTGAGCCTGAACCTGGATTTAACCCTTGTCATCTATGGTCATCAAGCAAGTGATGTGTCCTCTTCCTCCTTCATCTGACAGACTCCAGACACTCTGTCCACATTCTCTGTTGTATATGTTGTCATCTATTACACTTTGTATCTTCCTGTTTGAGAAGTATATCAGGGGACTTTTAAAAAGACTTTTACTTTCTCTCCGTATCAGTGGTCTGAGGGAATCCCACCAACTATGTTGACTGTAATTATTATGTTAACCTAATGGTTGGCTGTTAGCTATTCAGACAAAAAAGGATATGCAGTATAACCCTGAAGCCGGTCTGACAGGATGTTTTTTTTCCTTCTGCTTAACTGACACTAATCTTACCAGTGCAAGCATTATATTACTTTGTACCTTCAACAACACAGTGACAAAATACACACTTATGTTAGATTTAACTTCTATTCACTGTTTTGCCACCAGGAGGCAGAATAATCTCTGTAGACAGAAAACAGTAAATTATTACTCCTCTAGCTCCTGTTTAAACCCTTAAAATGTATTTTTACACCTCTATTACATCATATTAAATGTATTATATGCACACTGTTATCTCGGTTTTAAGTCTTATCCTGGTGTTGTTCATTAAGGGATTTGATATTTACATTGAATATGGAAAAATGGTAATTAATCTCCCTGCTGATGCAATTCTAACAGTATCCATGTTATCAATCATCTGCGTGCAGTTTTATCTTGATTTCTCACCATCTAAGCCACTATGTTCTGCACCAACAAAGAATATTTTATCGACTAAGATGTTTAGATGTCACAGTATTTCTGAAATCAGGACAAAATGTTTACAGCAAACACATAACCAGGATACTAGTCCTCATGTAAATGCATTAATCGTTAAAATCACTTGCCAGAAATACTTTTAAAGAGTAAAGTCAGTGATTTATTCAGTGTTTTCTAAATGAACGCTAAATAAAGCCTGAATGGGTTTCCTTTCCCAGGTGGAACTGAACAGGAAGTATCGGATGCATGACATCCTGACCCAACAGTGTATGGCGACGTCCACCTACATCAATGCTCGGACAGTATTCATGAGAATTACGCTCCAACAGGGCCGCTACGTCATCATCCCCACCACCTTCAAGCCTCAGACACTGGGGGATTACATGATCCGGGTTTTCACAGATGTGGACTCAGACTGCAGGTACAAGGTGTTTTATGCTGTCAGGCAGAAATGTTTAATGTTTAATGTTTACATATCTTGAAATGATCAGGTCTTAAGAGACAGTGCAGGGAAATCAAGAACAAGGTTGTTCTAGTGGATGGATTATATCCAACGAAAGCACTCAAATGAGTGTTTCGGAGAACTACAAAATTATGTTCATATTAAATCACTTCACAGTAACATCTCTCCTGTTTTTCTTGGCCAAAGATTTTGTTTTGCCAGACTTTGACGATCTTGTTGGCAGACCTAAACACCGACCCATTTTTGTTTGCTCACATACAAGTCATCCAAGCTGGCTAGTCCAACCAGTATTGTGTTTATGAAACACAGGCATGCTGTCACTCCCCTAGTCTTCTAATTTACAGATAATAACATCAGGAGCTCTATTTCTCTCCTGGTTCTCTCCTCTACTCTCACAGGGAGTTGACAGAGGATAAGCCGAAAGTGAGATGCTGGAGTTCATTTCTTGGATACCCACAAGCTGTGACTCACGTCTATGTCCACGGAGCCGAAGGGCTGGAGAACCAGGACAGTACAGGAGGTTAGAGGACTACACAAACCAGACTTTACCCCAAATCTACTAATCAACAGAAACAGACTGTAATCCACCAAATTGGTTTGCTAAAATGGATCTTTACATGTTTTTTTTTTATGCAGGTGCAGACCCTTATGTGATCATCTCCTGTGAGGGCCGGTCAGTAAAATCCCCCATCAAGAAGGATACGTTGCAACCAGAGTTTGCAATAAGCGGCATTTTTTACAGGAAGAATCCCAGGAAGCCCATAACTGTGCAGGTAAAATGGCGTCACTCTCGTCCTGAGGACTGTTATTTATCTCAGTGACTCCTACACTGTCCTGTGGAGAGGATGTATCTCCAAAATGTCAACTTTTCACACAGAAACAGCCTTGTTTCAGGCTCAAAGACAATGCATTTTTCAATGATCCAATGTGTTTTGGAATGGTTTTGAGAGCATAAGAGGGAGGAGAATTTTTACGACCTATTGAGGCACATCATCCCTCAGTTCATCTAAAAAATCATAAAATTCGGAGATATATTTCTACCAGCTTTTTAAGCTGCTTGTATGTTATGTGCTCAGGATAACTAATAATAATAATAGCACGAACAGACTGAATCTATAAACTGGAAAAACTCACATATATAACTGGTGATCAACTGACAGATTTAATGGCAGCTTGTAACTGGCAGTAATAAAGAACACAGGTCTTTGCCTGATAACGTTATTGCTCAACATAATCAAATCAGATTCACCACCCCTCTGTTGAAGCTCTGCAGATCTACTGTGGTCATTTTGTAATGTGTGACAGCAGAATTCTTACATATATTTCAAACTGACTGGTCTTCCTCAGGTGTGGAACAGCAACGCGGTGAAGGACGAGTTTATGGGCCAAGTAGTGTTGTCTGGGTCGGAGAAGGACACCACAGACCCTCAGAAGCTTAAGCTGAGGAAGCAAGGACAGCAGATGGCTGATGAGATGCCCGGTAACATAGGTTTGAGGATTGTCACTTCTACTCAGCTGACTGCCATGTGACCTCTGCAGTGAACTGAGAGAGGGTTGAATGTTTTTGTTTTTTTAACTATGTGGTGAACAAACAGTTGTTCAACCTACTGGATATCAGTGCTTGTGTATGATTACTCTGAGCTGAATTTTTCACTATTAATTGCACGTCGGTGAATTATTTTGCAAAGTCGAGAGGTGCGCAGGGCAAAATTGGACAGACTGAATGTCATTTCCTCTAATTTTTATCCAAATTTTATTTTCTGTATTACTTTTTTAACAATTTTTGTTTAACTTATAACATATTTTTTTATGCTTTGCAAGTTGATTGTATAGATACCACTTCTTTTTTTTAAGATGTTACTCTATACTGTGAGTAATGTGGCAGTTATTTAACTAAAGTCTTATGATGGTCACCTTTATGCAGAAAAACTTGCCGTATGTACAATTCATAATTCATGTATCATCTTATTTAGGCCCAGTGTGTAACATTTAGGGTCTATTGGCAGAAATTGAATATAATATTTGTAGGTATGTTTTTTTTATTATATCTGTAATCACCTGACCCGAATAATAGTTGTTTTTGTTTTCTTAGAATGAGCCAATTTTATCTACAGAGAAAGCAGGTCGTCTTGTGGCGGAGTCCGCCATGTTTCTACAGCAGCCCAGAACAGACAAACCAAATACTGGCTCTAGACTGGGTCTTTTACGTTTTTTAAACTTTTGAAACATACCAACAACTGCAACTAGACCTCTAAATCCTACACAGTGGTCCTTAAATGCATCTTCTTTTACTTTCCATCAATTCATATCATGTTTTATTTATAATCATGAATGGCATAAAGAATTAAAAGAAATTCAACCTAAGAATCAAAATCACCGACAAACATTGCCACAACTCTGGTTTTCTTCCTCTTTTATTTCAGTCCAGTTCCCAAACTGCAATATTTTGTTTTTTTACACTCAAGACACAGCCATGCACAATTCAAAGTTCAAAAAGTCTATTGCTTCAACCACAATTAAAAATAGTTTATCCAAAACCTCATTTCCCCGTCACTCATTTGTCCTTTTTCAAAGATGGGGAAGGGCCTGCTGAGGTATGCCAGATGGATCAGCAGTTTTACAAAGCTAGACAATAATAAGAGTAATAATAATAATAATGATAATAATAATTTAAAAAGTAACATTTTTTGTCTTTGTTCCATTCTCTTGATACACATTAATAGAGGAATTTTCACACCACGTGTACAGGTTTACACATTCAGAAGATAGGAATGTACAGGAGCAACCACAGAAAAGGGGCACGTCAGCAGTGTCTCTCGTCCCGAAATTCACCTTTGTGCTCATAGTTCAGACCTGTACATGGGGCAAAGGCCAAACGTCCCAGGGCCCGAGGAGCTTCCTGACAGGCCAGCCACACCTACCGCACACACACATACATGTTCTAACACCCAGCAGTGGTACTCAGGACAGACTGTGTGGGCCCGCACACAGAGTGCTGCATCCATCGGCTCTCTGTCCAGATGAAGGAGTGTCCGATAAAGCCCAAACAGGAGAGCTGGATCCAGGAGTGCAGAGACAGCGTGTGTGTGTTTGTTTTTGTCTTTTTTGATTTTCCAGGGTGCAAAACATTTATTGATACATACCATAGAGCAACCTGAATATTGTCATTTTAAGTTACATAATTCTGAAAAAAGGGGTTTTCTCCCATCATATTTACATACATACATACATATCCTAACAATCTTAACCTATTTGAAGATGAGATACAGTGTATAGTTTGTTTTACATGCATGAGTTCTGTTGCATCCTCCTGTCTAAATTCACTCCTTCATCTTCTGTACATTTGCTGTACAATGGAGGTACAATATGACTAAGCAGCTACCCTGCACCTCAAAGTTAAGGTGGACAACACGAGTGAGGCATCTTCTAGTGCAGATTGAGGTAGCCCCCTAACACACACAAACACACACCACTCACACACGGAGGGATGCTACACGGGAAATGCCTGACAAAGCTACCACACAACACACCAACACAAGATAACTTCTGTACAGGAATGAGTTTAAACGCTAACCATGTATGGAAGGACTGTAAGCAAACAATATGAGCCTCTACTTCAGTTTCTGTTTTCAGTGCTCATCAGGACAAGGTACAATCATAAAATGGCACTTGGTACTTCGCTCAGTGGATAACATTCCCCCTCTCTAATCCGCCACACGTTCCAAAAACGCCACTTCAAAAAGAATAGAGCATATGAAAGAAAGTCACATAAGACACCATTAAAAGACAAAAGGACACTGAAGCATGAATGAGCAGCATCTTAAATACCAAAAGAGAGGACAGAGAGGGGATGAGGGTGGGCGAGGAGGACAACTGGTGCCTCATAAGACGTGAATATCCATGTATATTCAGTATTTTCACCTGAACAGGCAGGCCAGGATTTTGGTTAGCACTTAATCCAAACATCACAGTTATATAATGTATTCTGCAATATAAGAAGACTTAATAATGAGGAATCATCATCACTTTCATCACATTTAAACTGAAGTTACTTCTTTTATCTGCATATTACATTTCCTTTCATACTTTAAAGTTTAGATCTCTCTCAAAGGGAAAATCATTTTAAGTCAGCACAAATAGCTGATTAAATAACTGATCAATTACATGACGAAGAAAATGTCTTTCTCCCTCCATGTGTTTGCCATTTTGACCTATGTTTGCATGTTTTTTTTTATCACAGGCATCTTTCCTGCTAAGGGTTTAAGGTCACAGGGATGCTTGGGGCACTATTAGAAACTGTGACAAAGTGTGGCACTAGACCTCCAACTCTCTGTAGGTAAATAATTACATGACCTTCTGTTTGCCACAGTTTTAGAATAAAGGCTGAAATGTCAATCCACTGTGTGCCAGCAGCTCAAAAAGGAAAATCCCTCGTCAAATATAGATATTTAAATGAAAGCATTTATATTTCTGTTGAGTCTCTGATTTAGAATTTGTTTTTACTTCTACAGTATTTCGTACTTAATTGCCTGATAAAAAGCAGGGATTGACATTCATTAAGACACACATACTGAATATCTATGAATAATCCTATTTGAGATGCTTTTACACACCGAATGCTACAGTATGTATTATGTATGAATGCATTTAAGAACGATTTGCAGAATTTTTCACATTGGACAATGCAGCTGGTACCATTTTATAGTAATTCTAATATTTTCCCGAGTGATTTAGGTGTGCGACACATCATCTACATGTCAGTGCAAGTGTCTCTAACTACATCACAAAAATGACCACCAAAACAACTGAATATGTATTAACTTTCCTCTATTATATATTTAGAATCAAATATTTGCTTCTATGATCTACAGCTGGATCACATTATAGTTCTGGTTAAATTTAATGTTTTATGTAGACAAATTGTGCCCTAATAGTGTTTCAGTATTTTTAAATATTCAGAGCATTAAAGCTGATAACATGTAGTCAGTTTTAGAGAGAAAACCTGCAAATGATCTGCAGATAACCTGAACTCCAGTGACTCTATGACAGACACTGAGAGAAGTGGGCTCAAATGAAATAAGAGACCCGTATCTCTTCACCAATGTGAAGCGGATTAATGAAAGATGTTTAAAGCTGGCATAGGTCATGTGAAATTATTCTTGAATGTTTCCCCTGTAGCTGCACCCCTACACACATTCACTCGCACACACATACACATAAATACGCCACCTTGTGACAATCCGCAGAGGAGTAGCAATGTTTCTCCACAGAGCCATAGTCATGCAGGCAAAGATTGGGTCCCAGAGTCACTCTCTCACATCAGCTGGTCACTGCAGGTGCAAGTGTGGCCTGATTGTGCTCCATGGAGGGACTACAGGAAAGAAAAGCCTAAAGCTGGACAGGGGAGGAGTCACAGGCTCTTCAGTTTCGTCAGTTACTCCTCTTAGCTCCTGACGTTTCTTCTTGAAAATGAGCACATTTTCTTTACGATTTTTTCTTAGTTTGGAGAGCGACTGCTGCCAAACAAGACATATGACACAAAGAGATGTGCACAGTTTGAACACACACACACACCCACACTCGCACACACATACTTGTGATGGACTGCTCTACATGTACAGATTGCTGGAGAAGTAAACGAGGAGGCAAGGTCTGTTCAGCAGCATTGGCCAAGAGGCTGCAAGGCCAGATGTCCATCCTACATATGAGGCCTGGGGGTCTTTTGTCCTTGTGCTGTCACTGTATGTCACACAAACCCCCCTCCTTGTGCTGTCACTGTCACGTCACCCACCACCCATACACCCAAGCCCCTGCCCCCATGAACGCACACATCACAGGCAGGGCTCCAGCCTCAGGTGGGGACAGAGGGCACACCCTAGCGACTGCTGTTCTTTATGGCTTCCTTTGCAGCTACAATCAGAGGCGTCAGGCTGGATAGAGGCTTTGCCAGCTTGAGGAAGGAATGCTGCAGAGGACAAAAAGGATAAAATAAAATGTAGATGTGGAGCCAAAGAGAGATGTATGCAGATTTGATCCTATACCACCCTTATGGTTGTAACATATTTCTACATTTAGAATCATGACACTCATTCATAACACATTGATCTATATTGAGGATCGAGTCTCGGTTCTACCTGGAGCAGCTCCTTGGCGGAGCCTCTGCGGTCCACATCCATCTCCAGACAGCGATTGAGGAAGTCCCTGAACACAGATGACAGCCTCTCTGGGTTCTGCAGCTCTGGAGTCCCGTTGGTAGCTATCAGGTACAGTGCCTGGATAGATGGATGATGTCAAACAAACCATCAAAACAAAACAGTTCAGTTAGGGGATCCTACCTAGAACTGTTCTGAGGCACTCAAGATGGTTGGTCTAAAAAGCCTTTAATATTTCATGGTTATTTACTCATAGTAATGGTTACAAAACAAGTCTACACATTTCAGGCCTTCATCATGTCAAATACCATATCATGAATCCTGTGCTGTAGCTGCACTTTGTGTCTTACCCTGAGTGGATTCTCATTCAGGTAGGGCGGTTCTCCCTCCACCATCTCTATTGCCATGATTCCCAGAGACCAGATATCCACTTTTGGGCCATAAGCCTTCCGAGTTACCACCTCTGGTGCCATCCAGTAGGGCGTTCCCACCATTGTGCTGCGCTTGTTCTGCTCTGGAGTGATCTGGGCACAGAAGCCGAAGTCGGCTGCAGAGGAAGACAGAGGGAGGGAGGTGCAGTGGTGTGTTATATTCTTTGTTTGCATTCTACTTCATCACATAAAACATAGAGTTTCTGCTTTGCTTTTACCCATATTTAATTTAAGTGGTCTTTCATTTAACAGTTTACCATTTCTCTCAACCTTCAAACACTTTCACACACACTCAGAACTGTTGTTTTTTACTTTACTTCTACCACACCAAAGCCAAGGGCAAATTCATATACTTGAACAAATAATTAAGACTTACTGAGCTTGACAGATCCGTCCATACCCAAGAGGATGTTGTCACTTTTTATATCTCTATGGATCACCTGGTTGGAGTGTAAGAAGTCCAGGGCTTGAAGACACTGAAGAGAGAGAAGAAATCTTAAAAATATATCTGATAGACACCTACTCATAAGGAAGGAAGTGGGCAGTGTTTTTTTCTGTTGAAATTTTGTTCAAATGTTTGCATGTGTCCACCTAAATGTAAGGGTTAGACCATCATAGCCACAGAGGTAGTGGGTGGTATTGCTGATGTCTAAACCTGGCTTCTTACCTCTCTGCAGACTGCAGCAATCTGGCCCTCGTCCATGCAGGTCTCAGTCACTACATCTGTCAACGAACCACCGGCCAAATACTCCATCACCACCCATAGCTCATCTCCTACCAAGTAACTAAAAAAAAGCAAGAGAAAAAGAAAAATGTAAAATTTCTTGTGGCTTTAGTGTGACGTGAATTTCATGTTGGGCTTTTCAGTTCAGACGTTGCTTTGTCAAATCAATAACCTAGGCACACTGGTTGACACTTACACTTACAACACACAGCAGGTGCTCAAGCATGATACTGTCAGCTGTGAACAATAGCAGAAAGGCCAATGTAATGAAATCAGAGCTGAGTGGAACAGATGCTAAAAACTTGATGAGGAACTGAATGGTTGTGTGTTTTAATTCTTCTTTACTTTTAAAAACAGTAGGTGGCAGTAATGTACCTAAAGATTAATGCTGACCACTATTAAAAGGCAAAAGAAGAAAGAAAAAGACACAGAAGAAGAAGAAAAATTATCTGAAAAGCTCCTCAGAGGATCCCTCAATGTCATTATGGTAACAACATGCATTGACCTGTTGGCAAATTAACACCAAATACATTCAGACTGCTTCCTGAGATTAGATTTTTATTAGGACCCTCCAACCATCTTAGAAAAACAAAAATAACAAAGAATATAATTAACATATGCTACAAAAGCTATAACAACTGTGCCATATACCTGTTAATGTCTTGTTAAAGTGGTATGAAATCTTTGTATGGGCTCATATTGTGTAGATATGGGCAGGGAAGTGTGGTGAATTTTTTTTTTGATTAACCGATTACAAAATTAATCGAACTGATTTGGTGTTCACTATTGTTGGTTTTTGCTGTCCTTTATCAGCCTATCATCTGCTGGTTTGGAGCTCTTCTCTCTATTATATTACTGGAAATCTCATATATTTTGGTTTTGCAATTGGAAGACATCACCATGGGCTCCAGGAAAATGTGATGGCTTTGACTCTTTCAAAAATAACCAAAAACAGACCTTGACTTCAGGTTTATGTTCATTTTTGTGTGAAATGTGACCCTGCGTGTGAAAACTGACCTGTCCAGGTAGTTCACTATATTGGAGTTTTTGTTTTCCCTCATCACCAAGATCTCATTGATGATCAGTTCTTTCTTGGGTTGCTGCTGCAGGTTCATCTGCTTGATGGCCACCTGAGAAAACAGACAAGGGATCTGTGGCTCAGAACAAGAGTAAGCCTGACAGCTTAGCAAGGAAAAATAAATAATATACAGTATGTGAATGTTGTTTCATTGACATTAGACTCTGACTTACCTCTTGGCCGGTTGCTATATCGATGGCGGTGTACACAGTGCCGGACGCTCTGGTGAAACACAAGATCAAAATCACATGTATACACTGATAATCATAATATGTAATTGCCTCAACTCTAACAAATTCACAATTCAACATCTCTATCTCTATCTTTGTCTATACAGCGTAAGGTATCTCTGAAAAACTTAGTGAAAAGCTTCAAGAGCCTTATAGCGTATACTTCAGTGAAATTATGTTTATCATCATTTTGCACTGCAGCCACAGAAACAGAGCTAGATGTTTCTTAGACAGGCTTAGGAGGACACAGTATGATTCACCCACATTTCTATATTAATTGGCTGAAGACCAATTTTAAGTTACATGCATCAGATTTAGTAGTTAACATTCAGACCACAGATTATAACTTAATGAAACTTAACGAGAAAAGCAAACCCTGCTGGGATGTGAGGGTAAAATTAGACTGAGTGGACGAGTTAGCATGTTGGCATGGCTAAATGGTTTTGTTGATGCCAGAGGCTTGAAGTTATTTTATTTTTTATTTTTTTTGTTTTTTCATTAACAAACTGTATGTGCTATTTTTAACTTAACCGGTATTAAATAGCCTTAGCAGTGATGAGCACAAATACTGGATCCACAAATTTATGGCTTCCAATAGCTGGTCAAGGGAATGGTATGCAGCCATTCTGTCCTTATTTGGAAGCGTAACTGATGATACTAAAACCTTTAGTAAATTTAGGCTCCTAGTCTTTCCCTCTTTCTCTTGCTGTCAGCTACACCGGTGTACTGTCAGAAGCTATGAATAATGAAGCACCGTTCCTCGTACTAATAAGTTAATGATAACCCGGCAGAGAGTAAATAGACTGTTATCTACTGTTTAAGATAGGAGCTTCCTGATCAAATATGGAAATAGTGACCATGAGCAGATAACAACCACACAGTTTTTATCTGTGCAGATGGGAAGTGAACAGGGAGAGTGACAGAAAAACAGCAGCCTTTAAAACAAAGAGAGAGAGAGAGATGGTTGAGCTAATCTTGCCTTTGGCCATTTCAGGATACAGTTCTCATTTCCTCTCTACTTAGTTTTCTCCCAGTCATTCAACCTGACCCTCCCTCTGCCTGTGTCTCACTAAAGTGGTCACTACAGCTCCATTTCTCCCCACGAGAATGACTGCTCCTGAAATTGCTCTGTGTGTTGCTATTTCTCTACTGTGAAGACTGGTTTATGACCACGGATGGACTTACCCTTGTCCTATTTTCTCGAAGCGTGTGTACTTCTTTTTGGGATCCCCCACGCTCACAATACTCCCTGAGTCAAAAAGACAATAGATATATAATGAGATTGTGTGGGCCCACACAGCCATGACTACATTCACACAAATACATAGAAAACATTGCTAAAATAGAAAGGTATAACCTTTTTCTGCCTTTTTCTTTTTCTTCTATTTCAGAGATATTCTGCATCTCTACTTCCAGGTGCATGCTGGTAACACACTCAATGAAAATTCGAAAAGTACTTCTTTGTCCTAATATGATTATACTAGTGCTCCCACGTTCTTTAACACTAGAAGCAATATGTGGAAAACAGCCACTGGAAACCAAATATTCATCTTCTGACACTAAGGTCACATTCTCAATATTTTTTTTGGAGGATATTCTACAATTAAATGATTATGATATATTTTAGACTACATATCTTTAAATTTAATTAATTAATTAATTAATTAATTAATTAATTTTTTGCAAACTAAACATTCCAAAATCAAGACATTTAGGATTTCTATACCAAAATAGTTCATAGTGTGAAAGGGTTTTACAATCATTTGCAGAGATACAATTCACAGGGAATAAAACTGAACAATTAAATAACTGTGAAATGTAAATGTGAAAACAATTAGAAAAAAAATGTTTTAGTTGCTGGTGAAAAATGCCTTAAGACCCTCAGTATTTCTAAAACTCTGCCCTGATACACATAAAAACATGTGCAGCTCTACAGACACGTACTGAGTCTCTCCAGAATCTCCTCATCTGTCATTTTAGACTTCTTCCTCTGGCGGTCAGTGTGGCGATACATTGTGTTGGACGTGTTCTCCGGTTGAACCTGTGACTCCGGAGGAGTCAACACTTCTTTGACTGGGGTTGGAGGCTTTGGTGGGTCCATGACGGAACGCGTGTAGATCTGCAAGGAGAAAAGAGTCAAAGAAATGCAGAAGGGATTCGCCGCCGAATGATTTCCCCAATTGCTCGGTATAAACTCACAGATTTGGTGTGCTCCGGCCGAGGCGCAATGACTGGAGGAAGTTCATCGTCATCATCCTCTTCTTCCTCCTCCTCTTCTTCTTCCTCTTCTTCCTCATCCTCCTCTTCTGACACAGGTGGGGCGATTGGAGGCTCTGATGATGATGTTTTGGCAGCCTTTGGGGGGGTAGAGATGTAAGTGAGTGTGGATGCATGCGTCAAGTAGCAGCATGGAATGAAAAAAAAAAAAAATTCAAATGTTACCCTAAATTAAACCAAATCATGATTTTCTCTAATGAATTGCTGTCACAGTCAGCAGCCTGCAAACCCCAAACCACCCAGAGTTTGAGTTCTGGCCAGCTGAGTTTCAGAAGAAGTCTAGTGATGGTGAATTAATTTCTAAATTGCATCAATAAGAGACTGAGATCATATCATTAAAAAATGTTATTCAAAAGCAGTGACAAAAATGAACACATGTGATCAAAAACAAAATACAGATAATCTGTTAAAGAATAATCTTTTAAAGATAATCTACCCTGTAACAGTACATCGTGTGTATAAAATAAAATAAAAAACAAACAAAACCAGAAATGAATGGGGTTAAATTGTCAGAAGCAATTCTGTTAATAGTGGAGGGAAGTCCAGTGAGAGCTAAAGAGACAAGTGTTAAAAAGAGTGAGGTGCCATTCAGCAAAGTGTATCTTTAAATCAGTTTATATTTAACTGTGCTATAGGATAAATCATGCTGCCACATTGCAGTCATGTGCAGTATGGCAATGAACTGTAGACATCCTCTTGATATGGAAGATACCTTTTAACAAGTGTGATTAATAAGCCTCAGGCATATTTATTATGCCTAATGCTCAGCCTTTATTTCCCTCATCCAAAGCTCTGCTAGCCTTGGATCATCTTCCTCTTATGGAATGGAAACATTTCATCCATTTCCAGTGTCGTCATGCATAAATGAAGCAGTGCAGCTTAGTTGTAGTGATTAAAGGGAAAGGGTCTGGCTGAAGGAAAGTCCCAGTCCTTCATTCAGACATAGTGGGCCTCTGACCTGCTCCAGAGAGGGCTGGGCCAAGACGGTAGTGCAGAAATGAGTGTCTAGCTAACTATAAGCGGTGCTATGTGGGTTTTTTTTTTTTTATAGAGCCATGCGGTAATGTCTACAATGGTGATGAAGTTACAGGCACATTATTGGAAATGTGGATTAAATTGTAAGGAATATGAGCTCATACATGCAGTTTGATAGTCATCACAACCCTCTGTGGCATGCGCCCCTGCCCTGCCATTTCATAGACGGTCCATTTGGATAAAGATTAGAGGTGCTCTGGTGGAAGATAATAAATACATCTATAACATCAAAAACTAATAGATCCAATCATACCCCCCATGGAATTTCAATACAGAGAGTGATGATGCCTCTAAATTAAAATATTTGTACGCATTTTGCATTAGCCAGTTGGAATAATCAAAATTAGGAGATCAAATTTAGCTTCAAGGCCAATGCAGAGAAATATCATGTGGAAAGTAATATGGAGGAGTTACCTTGTCAAATAATGCGCTGCAGGTTCTAAGGCTGACAGGAGGCCCAGATGACAGCAGTCGGTTCTGAATGTGAAGGTTGAGAATGGGAGGATTTACTCAAAACAAACCCACACAATGTTTAAGAGTAAGTGGACTTCAAGGAACGAGGGGAGGGCAGGGGTACGCTACTGAGGGATGGACGTTAGGTCCGTAAATTGTCCTCCTACCACCCAGCATGTGGAGAGGACATGATAGAGACACATCATGCCACCTGAGGACTGTCTTTGCCCAAGCCTAGAACACATCTCTCTCTACTTTACTTTATTTCTCTTCAGTTTTCTTGTATAAAATGTTATTTTAATCAGCTTTTATGTTAACGATACAATAAGGGAAAATAACTTCCACCTCTGTTCATGCACCCATAATGTTCTTATGCCTGATTTCAAATGTCCTGATAACATGTTAAAGATGCAATCCATTAGACTACCAAAATTAAAGATTAGATTATAAGATTATAATTAAATTATTGTCAAGTAGTGTTAAAGTATACACATATGCACACACAAATACAGACAATTGTGTTAAAACTCTCTTTTCCACTACATTTGTTTGTGTTTCTTGGCACATATTATGTTGGAAACTCAACATAACTGACTTCACTTTGACATCAAGGTAAAAATGTAAAATGTGGTGCTGTATTACAGCAGGATTCCACATGAGGAAAGTTTACTGTTAGTGTTGTTTATGGTAGTGTTTGATACTTGAACATAACTGTTACTCTCTGTTGATAAAAGAGAAAAGAGAGCTATCTCTCTGAAGAAAATGAAGTGGCTGCTCTCATTCATTTGACTGGATAAATGCTGTTTCATTATAGCCTATAAACATTTTCCATTCAAATCATAATTATGACCAGGTAATGATTAAATATCACAACTGGTGTGATAACTTTTCTCAAGTTGTAGCGAGGTAAAGCTCACACTGATAAACAAACTCTTAATGCTGTGAATGCAGTTATATAAACAGTGGTCTAGCTGTCTGTGTTGGTTGCCTTGTGGTCTGACACTCAGACAACACACTAAAGTTAAATATCCAGGACTTCATCTATCCAGGTTCTATTAATAGGACTAATATAAAATCATCACAGTTATGACTTAACTGATGGCTAAACAGGGGAAACTCCAGGACAGAAAAACCAAGACCAAGTTACCAATCACTTAAAGCAGCAACAGAGGCAATCAAATTGATCCTGAAAGATTGAAGAACTTGTCTACCAAAAACATTTCAGAGGTGAATCTATCGTCTGGTAGAGGGCACTAAAAAGGACACTGAGAACAACATTCAGCATGTTAGAATGGTTACAATTGGTAACTCAGGAAGTAAAGTTTAGATTTTCTTTCGAGGTCCTAGAATCTACAACTTTTTGGCCTGACCAAAAGCTTGGATTAGGATGCAATAGTGTCCCTACATGTAGCACCATTACCCACACTTATAAATGTACGCTGCGCTAAGGTCAAGATGAGGCTCAGATTTACCTAAAACATGAACTGGCTTAAATGGATGCTCAAAGAGGTCAAATAAACACCAGAGATATTATAATATGACCAGTGGATAGTAATCTGTTTTTATATATGACTAAACAACATGGGAAAATGGCTCAAAACTGTTCTATTTCTATTAACTTCTTTAATCCTTAATGACAAGACAATAAAACAGCAGGGTGGATGTGGTCCGTAGCAAGTAATAAGAAGAGAATATAAGTTGTTTAAGGAAGGCAAAACACAATATATATATATTTGTTTGTACAGTTTGCTTCTGTAGACAAAGTATTGGCACCTCTCCTGAAGTTCTGCTTGCCTGAGACACTGCGGCCCAATCCTAGTATGAAACTGTAGCACCATAGCCAATTGCTGAGTCACCTCTGCAGACCGTGGACCACTGTGACAGTCCAAGGCTGAGATGCTCTCAAATACCCTCACTGGGCTTGCACAACCTTTTAGACCCACTGCCACACCCGCTTGCCCTTCACTGGCAAAGAGCTCTTTCAAGCGGTAGCCCTGCATTAACTGACACCATTGTCGTTCGCCTGGGGCAGCGAATCCCACTGAACAGACTAGGATTCCACTTCTTCACCCAGCTGAGCGTGTACAGGCCAAGGCATTCAAAGCATAGATTACTCTGGTCAAAGCCAGGAATGAGGTCAGCACAGCGGGAGTCCTTCTAGATGCAGCTGAGCCTCCAGTAAAGCTTGTCTATTGGTATTTCAAAATCTGGTTAAGTCGATTGGAAAAATAAACAATGAGCAGCAGTAGCTCTCACAGCAGTCACCGTTTCTGTGCAGGATCTGCAAACTGATTGGCGTGTATGGAAAATTCAGGGCATTATGCTGCAGAGTGAGGGCAGCATCCCCCTAGAGAGGAACGCACACATTTTGCCCATTAGAGGCGATGAACGTGGAAAGGAACACAGTCTATCCCAGAAATTCTTAGACACAGTTATTGAGAGTAAAGTGAGAAAGATTTACTGCGGTGCAGTCAAAGAGTTTCAAGGCGATGAAATAAAGCCTCATAATGTTGAAACTTACCTGTTAAGAGTATTACACTGTTACATGTATATAAAATCAGGAAGAAATATATTTTCTCTCCATATTACTGTGATTTGAGAGATTTTCCAAAGCAGTGAAACTTGTAACATTTTTACTAATAACCAGACAGTCTAGGGATGTCAAGATATGCAGTGCAGCAATATAATTCCTGATAAAACAGACCGAGGAGAAACCTCCAACAAAAGGGGGCATGTTTAATTAACAACATCTTAATTCATTTAAAACTGAGCATTAAATAGTAGTTAGGTATTATCAACTGACATATATTTTGTCAGTTTATCATATCATGGTGTTTTTCTTCAACAAATATTCTTAATAGTGATGTAAAAATGTAAAATATTACTAAAAAATAACACTAACCAAAGTAAGTTTATATATAAAAGAACTCACCAGAGTGTTTGCTGCTATGTACCCATGTGCCGACTTGTCTAAAACAGAAAGGAACATTGTTATAGCATACTGAAAATCTTTTGTATGAGACATTAGAATGAATATAACATGTTTCTTATATTGGTGGTTGTTGTCAGTATCTTGGTGTTGCTTACCTCCCGAGGTGAAGCTCATGTACTTCTGGTTGTTGACAGTCTCTTTGGAGTCGTAGAACTTTAAGACGTCCAACACAGCCTGTGGGTTCTTCTTCTGCTCCAGTTTAGTGATGTTCGAGGTCTGTAGGAGCCGTGCCCACTGCTCTGGGATACCCTGCACACATAGATAGAGGTTGATAAAGGTCGTTCAATTATAGCCAGAAACTGTTGAAAAATGTATACGTAGTGTTTCTGTTTTAGGCTTTTAGCAGCCTGGATAGTGGGGTGGACAACTGATCACTACAGGTAAATGGGTTGAGACACCTCTAAATCCTACAAACATTTCCCCACACCGACATCTCTTTAAGCCTTAATATCCTATAAAGAGATTTTTTTTAATATTGGCAAAAATAAACATTTAATTTGGTAGTGAAAAAGATTTTTACGATTATACATACAGTATTTTACTATAATTTCTGTCTGAGTTTTCTTTGAGTTATGTCTACCCTCTCAAAACCATTAGAAGAACTACATATTAAAAGAACCGTTTGACATTTTGGAGAATTTGTTTATTTGCTATTTATTCTTTAGCTTAGCATAAAGACTTGAAGCAGCAGGAAACAGCTAGCATCAACCATACTTGTTGCTTTCACATTTCACTTTCTGTATAGGTTAAACAAACAAGATATAGCATGTTTAATAGTGAGCTTTAGAGATGCTGGTAAAGGTAGCTAGCTGTTTCCCCCTGTTTCCAGTCTTAATGCTAAGCTAAGCTAACTGGCTGGAGCTTCATATGGACAGATATGACGCTCAGAAAGAGAGTGAAATTCCAAAAATAAAAAGTTACTATTCCTTTAAGGTATTTCTACACTTTTTTAGTCTGGTTTGCATGTTTTAATGCCTGTGGAGTCTGAATGTGATTGAACAATGGGTTTCATTCATGCCATCTTTATACATGGATATTTTTACACTTAGAGAAACTGTCTTCGGTTCTGTGAAATCAGTGATGTTAGGGGCTCAAATGATACTTGGAGGGTGTCAAGGGGCAAATAAACAGTAATCCATAAAACCATGAAAGACATGAAATTAAAGTGGTTTGGTTTAAAACTGTCTTAATGTGTTACAGGCATACAGCTTATCAAACGAACAAGGAACTATTCGTTACTGATGTCATGGACTGAGTGCTGTTCATTTGCAAGTCAAATAGACCAGAACACATACAGTATTCCAGAGTATACAAGTTTTAAAGGGGAATGATGAAAAGTCTCTATCTTAAAAGAGTTATTCCTCTCAGCCCTAACCAAAGACGACTAAACAAGAAATTTAAGGTACAGTATATTTAATGCAAAACAATGAACTATTCTGCACCAATCAGCTGAATGAACATCTCTGTGGGATACAAAACTGACCATTAAAAGCTTTATAAGCTTTGCTTTGTCTAAATGTTGCTTAGAGTAACTATTTGCTGGGGAATGGCATAAAGTATAAAACAAAACAAAAACACTTTATTAACTGAAAAGAAATGATCAAATTCAATGTAAAGAACTTTAAACAGAGAAAATAATAGATGGAAACATTGTGTCATGGTATTATATATCTAGGTTTGTGTAAGAATAAAACGACTGCAAACTGATACTGCAGCTAAAACGTAATTTACCAAGAAACACTGAAGGATTCCAGTGCAGGTTTCAGCTGACAGGGGAGATAGATTGTCATTCAAGTCACTCGTGACCAATTTTATGTGGAGGAGAATATATCATTAGTGACTCTATCACCTCAGGGGATTTTGATTTTAGAAATGCGTGCTGGGACTGTGCGTTCAGATGGGGAAGTGGATTTTAGAAGCACATCAGTCCGTGTTTATATGCCTGATTGTCAGGTGAAAGAGATACTTACTGTGAATTCTCCTGTTACAGCATCAAAGCCAACATGAATGGTGTGTTCAAAGTCTGAAGGTAGGGATATCTCAGGGCGTTCCTTCTCCTTTTTCTTGTTTGCTACAGGGAATGAACAAAAAGTGATTACAGGCTGATCTCTAGTGTTTTTATACGCAGGAAACTAGTAAATAATGTGCGTTAATGTCGAGCTGAGCGTGAGTGTGACATGTGGACAAGGATACTCACTCTTGTCTCCCCCGGGGAAGATGGAGCGCAGGCGGACCTTCTTGTTTTTCTCTTCAGGAGCCATTGGAAGCGGTTTAGAGGCGTGATTCAACAATGAAGAGTCTCGGGAACTACTGTTCATTCTCAAGGGGGGGGCTGGTGGTTTCTCTTCAATATCGACACTATCAGACATCTTTAGTAGCACTCACAATGTCCTATGAGAGAGATAGAAAGAGAGAGAAGTTCAGTGTTAAAAAGTCTGGCTAAAGATCAGTAAGAACTTTGACAGAGGAACCGCTGGCACCTAACATAACAACCTTGAATTTTAACTAGTACTCCCTAGCAAGTGTACAAAATACAATAATATCGACTATGGATATATGAGTCTGTTTTGGTTAATTTTTAAATGATTTTGTCAATATCAAAGTCGGCTGCAAGCAATGACCTCGTAATGACAGCTTGTTGGATGCAACAGAGAACACAAATTATATAATATCTGTCTATGATGAAATGCATATTATATAACTGTAAAATGGTGTGAAATTGACCACTGAATTTCCCAAATTGTCCACTCAACAGCCCAAAACCCAAAGACATTAAATTTATAATGATATAACACAGAGAAAAGCAGCTAAAATGAATGTGATTATTTTGCTTGAGAAACTACTTCTAATCAATTAATCCTTTCAGCAACCCAGCAGTCACAATCATTTTTACTTGTGACTCAGTAAAAGTCTGTTATTTGATAAAAGTCTGACATTAGTGAGTTGCACAGTGTAAGTCTTTTGGCTGGTTTCTAAAGAAGCAGAACTAGGGTAACTTAAATGTGAAAAAAATCCATATTAAGACTTGATAGTTGCATTCAGGCAGATCTAATGCTGACAAAATACTCCTAGTTATACTTTCAAAGTGTTGTATTTGCCGAGCTTTGGCCTATTTTAGAATTGTAACATGAGGAATCCTGTTGCTGCGACACTGGATGCAGGTCTAAGAAAATCTCATTGAATCATGTATATTTTCAATTCTCTGCTAAAAAATCTGATACTTTGCACAACACATTTTAAATTATTTAGATTCTTATAAGATTCTTGAAACTGTCATTTTGATGTAAAAAAAAAACAACAACAACAAAAATCAATATATCCTATGACCTTCACCACGTTTTCTCTTGCTGTTTGAATGGAGGCTATTTGGGAGTGATGTGGAGTCCAATGTCCACGTCAGCTGTGAAAACGGTAACCAGGAGTTGATTCTAAGAGAAACCGGCAAGAGTAAATGTTCCCATCACTCATCCTCTCATCTTCCATCTACCCACTACCATCTTAAACTCCTTCACTGCCTCACCCTGAGGCCAAGCCCATCATGTGATGTGCAGCACAACCGTCCCAGAAAGCGGGCCATCCAGGCTGCCCCCTTAGTGGAGACCTACATTAGCAAACAAAGACCACTCCTTGGCTTATACACGGCACTCACTGCCCCTGACAAATGACACATGTGCTTTCCCAGTGGCCTTTACAATTTTATGCAACCATCTTCTGCAGAAGGTTGGTTACACCCTTCTCTTTGTTCACTTCCTGAAAGAACTGGTTTTGAATGAAGGAATTAGATTAGGGGAAAAATGTTGCATATATTGATAAGATCAAGACCTCTTTGTTTTCCCGTTCTGCAGGCTCAAATCTTGAAAAAGACGCTTCTTCTTGTGAAACATATTTGTCATTTCCTGTTTGGACGCTACAACCAGAACCAACCAAACAGTCTTTATAACTGCAGAGATGAGTGACTGTTATGATTTTGTCTTTCAGTCCTCTTATGAACAACACTTATAACAAGTCAGCCATTTAATCTAAATTCCTTCATTTTCTGACTGCCTACTGGATAACTACAGGTTTATGTACACACTGAATTTGATTAGGTCAGCATTTTTCAATCTTGGATCTATAGAACAGTTTCTCATCTACAGTAACAGTTTTACTTCCCTTGGCTAACATTAACCAATATGCATTAATGCATAATTAGTCTGATTCTAATGTTTTATTCATATAAACTAGCCTACAAAATATTTGCCAATACTTATGTGAAAAAAGTCTGAAGATCAAACACTGGTCTAAGACAAAAGACTACAAATATAATCTTGATGTTTCCTAATAAACAGACAGGGTTTTTTGTCCCTCTCTTCTTGTGATGTGATGAGAGGAAAAAGAGTTTAGTTTCACTTGGCAAGAGAATGTAACACAGAAACTACATGGTGATCCATTCAATTAACAAACTACTCCATAGTCACAGCAGGAAATGATTTGGAAGATAGCAGCCCATACTTTTCCTGGCTTTCAATATCAGAGCGTGCTGTAGATGAATTTTCGTGTTTTATCTGAGTTGATGCAACAAATGGTGGACTACAGTGAAGTGGGGAACATGACAAGAATAAAGATTTCTTTAAAAAAAAAAAAAAAACCCCACTGCAGCTCTTTTTCAGATTGAGATCGATTGTATCCATGAGAAACTGGTGAGCTACCCTTTCCCGAAACAGGTCACTCCCGACAGATTGGTTAACTGTATAAATAAAAGTTACATGTTTGATACAGCTTAGCTGCAGGGCACCCACTATGTGTGAATAACCAGACAGCTACAGAGAAACACCTTATGATCTTAATGTACTGGTAAAGATTATTTTCCTGGCATCTTTCCATGATCTTATGAGATACAGTGGTGGTGGGGGGTGGGGGGGACACTGCTGGCAGTTTCTACCATCATGCTGGGTGAGACCAGACAACAGCAGCAAACAGGTTCTTTTAGGTTGAAGGTTAGGCGTGTCACTAACAACAAAACCCGGTAAAACTCTGCTGTTTACAAAGGAATGTCACAATATTGACATGCGAAAGCAACAGGGAGTTTCTGCCAATGCAGCTATCCCAATACCAGAGAGAGAAAAAACAACAGGAAGTTGCCGGTAGGGAAGACATAGGGACTGCCATCACTCTGATGAACATTTAACTCCGGACACAGGAACAATCCCTGAGCAATAACCCTGTGACTCAAACATCCACTGCTGTAAATTATTTATTCTCATTGTTTAAATACTGTATACGCTGTGCATCCACCTACCTCGTGTATATAAAGTAACCTGTTAGATAAAAGCATCCTTTGCACTCTGCACCATTGCACTAGTGTCTTACTGTATACAAGTGTTATATATGTTTATATATATATATGTTATATATATGTTATATATATAGTATATCTGTACATAACAGTTTTACACATACCGGGACATTAAAAGTGATTCTGACTCTGACATGGTGGTGTGATATGGAAGCCTTACAGTACATACCACTTGACACAACAGGCCCTACTGTATACAACTGACCATTTAAACAATATCTGAGCTTCCCATTTTCACCATGCTGTAAAACAAAGGTTTCAAAATGCTTTATAGGATTTCATTTAAAATGCCAGTTATGGATTGATGCTAAATGATCAACAAAAATGCACAGAACAAGTACACAATGAACCACTTGAACCTTTATTAGCTTTGCCACTAAGGCAAGCTAGCTCAGATCTGCTGGACTGCTACTCACAGCATATCATAGCTTGAAAAACAATGTGAACTTTGCAACATCTTTAACAAAAAATAACAAATAGCATTCAAATCTTAAACAATGTTGCACATAATCCCTTACATATATCCAGCTTGTCCTTGTTTTTCCATTACAAAGACACATACAAGTGCTTCTGTCCTGTTGAGAGTAAAGCAGCTGTGACTGATGCCTCTGTTAATCCATTAACATAATCTTCTGAACGCGATCTTGCCAGCTACAGTATGTCATACAGCTTTTATAGTCATGCACAGAGGTGGATTCACGAACATGTGCACATGGCACAAGCAAGACCCGACAACAGCAACTGAGATCTAATCAATCAGATCACAATCTGGTCGGCAAATACAGAGGAAAAAAATCAATGGCTGCAACATCAAATAATGACGAGATGACAGGAGGTTTTGAACCCTTTAAACATAAAATTGATATTTTCTTGAGGTTTATTGGGTGAATCATACGTGTAGTATGCCTTAGCTCCATTGATACTCCTGTCCTCCATGGGAGCATGCAACACAAAATACACTTACAGTGAAGGTAGAGTGCATGCTCATAAATATGATAATTTCAGTAAAAAAGAGGAGTGTCAATGAATTATGTAGCTGAAAAACACATCTGACTTTGGTCACTTCTATATCAGGCAACGGTGAGAATCTTTGCCACTGGCTACACCACAAGTAACCAGTTTTATACATTACAAATCTCTAATGCAGGTCCTCACTGCTGTGTGGCTGTTGGGCTAATCACCTGACTGCCAGCCGATGCAGCAGCTCTGCCGAGCGGTCGGAACGGCTAAAGATGGCAGATTCATGGAGGCCCGGATATTACTGATTCTTCACTCACATAAAACACTGACCTATTTACTGTGCAGACTGACAGGCAGGCAAGCAGTCAGTGAGTTCACTGTCCCTGAAACAAGCAGCTCCTATTTCTGAAACACACACAGGCTAGTCTCTCAACATCATAAATCAACTCTATGTCTGCCGTTTGCCTGATGCTGAAGATAGTCGGTTCATGAGGCTGAACTATATCAGCAGACAAGGAAAAAAAGCTTCATTAAGAGACCAAGTTTTCTCTCAATGTACAACAGCTGCAACACTGATCCATAATATGCTAATTTGTCAGAAATTTCACAGCCAAACCTCATTCTGCTTGGCTGGCTTTGGTGGGATGTGACATTTTGACAGCGATATATAAATGTCTAAAAAAATCACACACACAGAGAACCACCGCAGACACAGCAGCTCAGCTCAGATATTACTGGGGATGTTTTCACATTTCTCTCCCATAAAATATTAATCTATCCATGAAGAGCAGGCATTTTCTCTGCTCTTTCAAACATTAATGCTGAATTTGAATGGCTAACACAGGAAGAGGCTCTAATCTTGAGCCCATGACGGCCCAGTAATGGCCCCGCAGTGGGGGGAGGGCTCCATAAGCCCAGCTCTTCTTCATGCCCCTGATTAGGACACGCTCTCTGTTTGACTTGGCTTTGGCTTTGGCTGTGCTTCTTTGAAGGATGCTGATTACTTGGATGGGATGGACAGCTAGAGGACATTCAAAGGATAAGGAGGAAAGGGGGGGGGACACACTCCAGAGCTGCAGTTTAGCATTGTTACCTC